AAATGTTTCAAGTCCTCTTCACTTTCAGCAAGCAAGGTTGTATCATCTGCATATCGCAGGTTGTTAGTGAGTCTTCCTCCAATCCTGATACCACATTTTTCTTGTTGTTGTTGTTAGGTGCCATAGTGTTAGTAGTGACTCATAGCAACCCTATGTACAACAGAACAAAACACTGCCTGGTTCTGGACCAGCCTCACAATTGTTGCCATGCTTCAGCCCATTGATGCTGCCACTTTGCCAATCCATCTCGCTGGGGGTGTTTTACTTAGGAGGTTGCAAATGCTGTATTTTGTTTTCTACTTGTATAAATCTGTATTTTGTTTTCTACTTGTGAAAGAGCAGAATCTTCTACAAGTATAAAATGATACCAAATATGATACCAAGGGGCTCTACCATTTAGTGGTCAGCAGTAATGAACAAAAATCTTAAAAGATTCTGTAATAATATAAGGTGGAAAACGTGATCTGTTTAGTAGGCATGTACCAATAATAACACTTTCCTTCTTGGCAGAATAGCTATTAAGCTTCTGTATTCTGGTCAAGCCCTTACCTACAGCATGCACAAACTACAGTAACAAATGTAGCCTGTTAACTTTACCGTACACTTGAAAAAGTTGCCACATTTACACTAATTGCTCACATATCTGTCATTGTCACCACAAAGCCTCTGATGTCTGTAGGATTTTGACAGAGTTTTAATGCATATCCACGTTCACTGTATTATTATTCACAATAGCAAAAAGATGGAAACAACCTAAGTGCCCATCAGCTGATAAATGGACAAACTGGTACATACAATAAAATACTATGCAATGTTAAATAATGAAAAATCCACCAAACATCTCACAAAATGTTCTGGAAGACATTTTGCTGAACAAAATAAGTCAATCACAAAAGGGCAAATATTGTATGAGACCCTATTACAAAAAGTCAAGAAAAAGTTTTCACACAAAAGAAACATTCTTTGATGGTTACCAGAGAAATGGAGAACTGGGAGAGGTGCTGCCAGTCAGTTCTGACTCATAGTAACCCTGTACAGGGTTTCCAAGGAGTGGCTGGTGGATTTGAACTGCCAGTCTTTCACTTCAAACCAACACTGCAGTTGAGTACTTATCCTACAGCGTCACACCAGGACTCCAAATGTCAACTTTTGGTTAAGGGAATGACATGTGAAATGGGGGAAGTCAGCACTACATGGCCAAGTGAAAGGAAGACAATGCGAGATATGTAAAAACTGAAGACAAGAGTAGATACAATTATATATAAAATCCTGGGACAACAGTAATAATGAACATTAATATATTAATACATAGGTAGATATGTAAATTGAACAGGTGTGGGATGGTATATGGAAGGAATATAACCACATGCATATATAGATTTGGCAGTAGATATTTCTACAGACATATTTTATGGGCTGCAAATACATCCATATTTGCAACACATAGCATAATCAGGAAAATGTTAGCTATAAGCAAATGTCTTGTGGGACTGAGTTACTACTGGATGTGAGAGCTAGGGACCATAGTCTTGGAAGACATCAAGCTCAAAGTGTGTACCATACTCCATATAGACAATGTTCAACATCCTACTTTGGTAACAACTATGGTCTCAAAGGAGTCCTGGTATTCTGCAACAGAATGCACTGGACTCTAAAAGTTGGTTTAAACTGCAAGGTTGGCAGTTAAAACTCAACAGCCACTCTTTGGAAACCCTATTTAGAGTAACTATGAGTCAGAACTGACTTGACAGGACTTTAACATGGTCTCAAAAGCTTGCAAGCAGCCATGTACGATACAACTATTGGTCTCTTCCCATTTGAGGCCAAGAAGAGTGAATAAATCCCAGGAAACAATTAGTTCAAACAACTAATGGACTATATAAACCACAGCCTCCCCATGCCTTGTATCAGAACTAAATCATGCCTAGCTACTAATTGCTGTGACTGGGGTCACAGTGGAAGATCCTAGATAAGAGTGAGAGAAAAATATAAAACAAAATAAAATTTCTTAAAAAGACTAGACTTTTTGGTCTGACAGTCACCAGTGGGATCTCCAAGACACCATTCAAACTTGTAACTGAATCTCCTCCTGGAGATCACCTTACAGCTAAAATGATTTCCAACTCATAGTGACCCTGTATAGGGTTTCCAAGGAGCAGTTGGTAACCTTCAATGCCAACCTTGAGATTCAAACTGACCTTGTGGTTCAAACTGACATTGCAGTCCAGTGCATTAACCCTCACTGCCACATCAGGACTCCACAGCTAAACAATGTTTTTTGTTAAGTGCCATTGAGTCAGTTCCAACCCACAGCAACTCTGTATAGGGTTTCCAAGGAACAGCTTGCTCCACCGACCTTGCAGTTCAAACCAACTTTGCAGTGCAGTACAAAAGTGAACCGTTAATATATGTCAGGAAAGTGTTCCTCAGAATATTCAAGCATATGAGACCAAAACAGCAAAAATTAGAAGGCAGGAAAACTGGATGAATGGAAATGAGGAAACCAAGGTGTAAATGAGAATGCTGACAAATTCAAGGTTTGCAACTAGTATCAAGCAATCTATGCATAAATTGGCAGTAGACTTCCCAGCCCCAAGAGCAAAGCTGAGTGAGTGCCTTTGGGCAGGACACTCACTTGTGGAGTGGGGTACCTCCAAACACTTTGGTTGCAGAGCTATTTTTACTGACCCATGGAGCTAGAGCTTAGTGCCTTCAGGTGAGGCTTACATCAGTGGAATATCCTTTGGGCACTTATCAACAGTCATAAGAGAGTTTAACATTGGGCAAGATCTGGCTGAGGGCCAGAGAAAGAGGCCTGTCAGGCAGGCACGGCTGAAAGGATGTTCTAAGCGTATTTTCTCATCGTGAATTATAACCTGTAAACTTCTAATTATAACCTAATAAACTCTGTAACTGCTGAGTCTAGTGGCTGTGTGGCCAATGAAATCAATGATCGATCGTACCTAGCTGAGTAGAGAGAGCTATGGGAGGAATGGTCGTTTTTATAATGGGTAACTAATTTTCTTTGTAACTTTTCACCTACACTTGTTGTTGTTAAGTGCTGTTGAGTCAGTTGTGACCCATAGCGACCCTGTATAGGGTTTCCGAGGAGCAGCTGCACTACAATGTTCAAAATAAAAAGTTTTAAAACATAAATAAAACTAATCTCACTTGTGATACGAGTTACTCCTTGTTTGAGTAGGCATCCACTGTGTATTTCAGAGGAAAAAGGGATTTGATTTATAAGTATGTTAAAGTTGTATATTGTTTTACAGTTAGAGTTTCAATAACATTAAAACTAACGAAAGTCTCCACGGTTTAAAAACGGGTTACAGATGAAGTTGTGAACACTGTAAATGCCACAGTAAAAACTGATTTAGGTACTTTGCCCACTACTGGCCTATGCCGGCTCCCAAGCCGGGATGCGCTGATGTGGCTGCCCAGAAGTAGGGCTGACACAGGGCCGCCATGTTGCAGCAGCTACCGGTAGTTCATCACTTGGATCGACTTTGATAAGGAAATCGATTACATGATATTTAAAAAGACGAATTCAAGTGGAAAAAGACCTGGTACTGATGTTATTTCACCAGACGTGGTTTGCAGTACAAGGCTGGATGAAGTTGTACCATTTGAAAACAATTAGGACTCAAGGAACACCCGATTTGGGTAAGCCTGTCTGCCGTAGACTGCTACATCATACATGAAATCTATAATGGGGAGAACGCCCAAGATCAGTTCAAGTATGAGCTGGAGCAGGCCATGGAGGCACAATACAAGTACATTGTGATCGAGCCCACACGCATTGGTGACAAGTCTGTCCGCTGGATCGCTGTGAGCAATATGCCTGCCTCTGCACCCCACTGGCCCTACCCCTGGAGTATTCCCACATCTCCCTGCCGGCTAGTGTGCTGAGCCTAGCCTGCTGTACCCTCTATGGGATCTCTTGGCAGTTTGACCCCTGCTGCAAGTACTAAGTGGAGTATGATGCCTACAAACTGTCCAATCTGCCTCTGCACACACTCACCTCCTCCACTTCCGTGGTACCGGTCCGGAAAGACGACCTGCACAGAAAGAGACTGACAACACAAAAGCTCTTGCTGCCCTGGTGTACTGTGTAAAGAAGGTTTATGAACTCTACCTTGTATGATATCGGGGAAGAAGGGAGACAATGCAGACAGCAGCCCAGCTCAGAAAGACAACAGTGCTCAGACTGCCAGAGTCACAGCTTTGCCCTGTGAAACAGCACAGCTTGGGAAGGTATTTGGTTATAAATTGTTATTAAAAAAAAAATAACACAGATCATAGGTATACCATGGAGTTTTTCAGCACATTACACTAAGATGTGGATTTCCATAACCCAAGAAGGGGTCTGAAGCTGTGGACCTCTGACTGGGCAGTTGAATGCTGACGGAAGCAAATGCTACTGAGGGGTGTGAGCGCGTTTTGGATGAGGGTGTCTTTTAAGTCTATTTGTTTAACTTTACCATCGGCGCCAACCAGAAGCTAATGAACATTAAAATGATGAGAGTTTCAAAAAAACAACAAAAAACTGATTTTAACACTTAAAAATCTTTGAGCTAGTGATTTGTTCACTATTCTACATTCTGTACTTACCAAAAACTTTACTCAAAAAGTTGTTTAAAAAAAATGTCAATTTTTGAAATAGCCTAAGCCTTCAATGATTTATCAACAAGTTGTGGTTTATTTTTGAGAAGTCAAATCATGAACACTAGAAATGTAAAGGTTTGAGTGATATGTACTGCTAATCTTAGTTTTTAAAATTTTAACTTTTGAGGGAAAAGTACAAACTTAGATTTTTTTTTTTTTCTTTTGTAGCTCATGAACACTTATAAGACTGATGGGATTACAGTGGTATAAATATGAAGAACTACTGAAGAAGCTGATGTACTATACTACTGGACTTTGCTTTTCTAATTTAACATATTGGAAAGAATTTTAAGAGGTGCGGCAAGAACATGTCTGCTTTATGAATGGCACTGAGCATTTTAGTCAGATATAATATCACAATTCATATGGGCTAAAGTCTTGTTTAGGAAAATGTACAGTAATTTTGATAGTAAAAGATGTTTTATTTTATTTATATTTTCCGTTAGCTACCATGAATAAATGCTAGACTTTTTGGAAAAATATAACTGACTTTATATGAAATGTTCATTTTTTTAAAGGAAAATCTGAATCTTACATTGATTATTTTTTGCTAAATATTTAATTAAAAATTTGAAGTGGAACAAACTCTTTGCACGCTCCATTTTTTTTTTAATGCATAAAAGAAACACACACTGTCATGCCTCAAACTATTTATTTGCAACTACATGATTTTACTCAATTCTTCTAAACAATGACATAAAATAGATATCCTTGTGTATAAATAACTTACATACTCTCCATAAAGTAAATGCTCAAAGGTGCTAAAACAGATTGTCCACTCCTACAGTGTTCTCATATTCAACAAAGTTGATGTACAATATATAAATACTCAAGTCCAATATTAAAAACTCAGGCACTTGACTATCTTTAATAAAGTTTCTCAAACTATTTCAAGATATCTAAAGTGCATATATATAT